CTGTTTGTCTATGGGGTAATGAAGCTAAAGGGGGGAAATTAATGAAAGAAGCAGGGGGAGAAAAAAACAATTTAAGATATCAGAATTAAAAGGGGGGGACATGACCCAGGTGGCCCAAAAATTTTTGGGGAATTGGGGTTCACAAAGAAAAGGAATCGGCCCCTCAAAGTAAAATTTAAGCAAAATCAAAACCCGAGCCATGATCCTGCAGGAAAAGCACGGTTAGAGGGAAGCGGAGTTCCGGATGTTTTTACCTCGATCGAGAAGAAACGGCGAAAGGAAGACAAAAAGAAGAGTTTTAAAAAAAAAGGAGAAATGGGAGGAAAAGAAAAAGGAGAGCGAATAATCCAGGGTAAATGGAAAGGGCAAGTCACCCCCCGAAACACCTGCAGAAGGACCCACCACGACACCCCCAAAGGGAACGAACAATCCAAAAACCAAACCCTCAACACCCATCCCTCTTTTCCACCCCCCGCACCACAGTTTCAGTTTGAACAGGTTGAAGGTTTGGTACCAAATGAATGGGTTAACGAATAACAGAGGAAGGCAAGAAAGAACAATGAGAATCCCCAGACACTAGCAGTTACAGAAACCCAAAAATCTGGAACAAAAACAAGCAACTTCCCACCAGGGTCCAGATCTGGGAAAGATAAAGGGGCAGGGGGGGAGGTGGGGGTTTCTCTGCTCGTAAAAAACGATGGGAAAATTTGAGAAAAAGGGAAGGGAAAAGATAGACGGGGGAAAAAGACTACATAGAACACTTCATTTTGGGGAACACAAATGGTCATTGCAGTGATGTTAAACCACCACAGAACTGAGGAGGCCAAAAGGGGAATATGAAGAGAGCAAAAGAGCAATGGGGACCACTTTCTGAGGTGGGAAGAAAATCACTCCCGCAGACAAAATTGTGGTTTTGGGGGATTTCAACCACAGGGGGAAAAAAATGGGAAAACCCCGGGGGCCCATGGGGGCCGAAACATGGAGACCGGATGTTTTCGTGGGCGGAAAACCTCATGCCCAACAGTTAAGGACCTACCAGAGGGGGAAGGGGGGGATAACCAGCAAGATTGGGGCCTTGTGTTTTCCCTGGGCAGCTCAGATGTTAGGACATCAAGTAGAAGTCCCTAGGACTAGCGACCACGTGGTTTGTGCTTTTAATACATAGAGAGTGCAAGGTGAGAATAACAGGGTTGAATGGGAAAAGCTGACTTAAAAAAGGGGGCAATAGGGTTAAGAACTTTCCCCGGGAGGTCCCTGGGACCAAAAAACGGGAGGAAAACCAGTAAAAGAAAAAAAAAAAAAAAAAAAAAAAACAAAAAAAAAAAAAACCCAAAAAAAAAGGGAAGACCAAACGAATGGGGTTTTCCCGACGTAGGGAAGGGGAAAAAAAAAGCAAAAAAGGAAAAATAAAAGGCAGAAAACACGAAAAAAGGGGAAACAGTCGCGAGCCGGGAAAGAGTACCACAGGGGAGGGGAGGCCCCGGACAGTTAAAAAAGACAAACACGGAATCAAACTGACCCAAACTTTGTATACCACATCGGGGGAAACAAAATCAAAGACCGGTGATCAGATTAAGGGCAGAAGGGGGAGAACTCACAAGAAATGATCAGGAGGTATGTGAGGAGCTGAACAGGAGATTTAAGGAAGTTTTTACAGTAGAGACAGGAAGGGCTGTGGGAAGACAGCACAGAAGATAACATCAAGAGGGAATATACCAACAAGTGTTGGATGACATACGAACAACTGAGGAGGAGGTGAAGAAGCTCTTAAGTGACCTTGACACCTCAAAGGCGATGGGACCGGACAACATCTCCCCATGGGTCCTTAGAGAAGGAGCAGAGATGCTGTGCGTGCCTCTAACTACAATCTTCAACACATCCCTTGAAACTGGGCAACTACCTGAGAAATGGAAGACAGCTAATGTAGTCCCCATATTTAAGAAAGGAAACAGAAACGAGGCACTAAACTACAGACCTGTGTCTCTGACATGTATTGTGTGCAAAGTCATGGAGAAGATTATCAGGAGGAGAGTGGTCGAACACCTGGAAAGGAACAAGATTATAAATGAAAACCAGCATGGGTTCATGGAAGGCAAATCTTGTATCACAAACCTCCTGGAGTTTTATGACAAGGTAACAGAAGTAAGACACGGAGAGAGAGGGTGGGTAGATTGCGTTTTCCTAGACTGCAGGAAGGCCTCTGACACAGTTCCCCACAAGAGATTAGTGCAGAAGCTGGAGGATCAGGCGCACGTAAAAGGGAGGGCACTGCAATGGATAAGGGAATACCTGACAGGGAGGCAGCAACGAGTCATGGTACGTGAAGAGGTATCACAGTGGGCGCCTGTTACGAGCGGGGTCCCACAGGGTCAGTTCTAGGACCAGTGCTATTTTTGATATATGTGAACGACATGATGGAAGGAATAGACTCTGAAGTGTCCCTGTTCGCAGATGACGTGAAGTTGATGAGAAGAATTAAATTGGACGAGGATGAGGCAGGACTGCAAAGAGACCTGGACAGGCTGGACATGTGGTCCAGCAACTGGCTTCTCGAATTCAATCCAGCCAAATGCAAAGTCATGAAGATTGGGGAGGGGCAAAGAAGACCGCAGACAGAGTATAGGCTAGGTGGACAAAGACTACAGACCTCACTCAGGGAGAAAGACCTTGGGTGACCATAACACCGAGCACATCACCGGAGGCACACATCAACCAAATAACCGCTGCAGCATACGGGCGCCTGGCAAACCTGAGAATAGCGTTCCGATACCTTAATAAGGAATCGTTCAAGACACTGTACACTGTGTATGTTAGGCCCATACTGGAGTATGCAGCACCAGTCTGGAACCCACCCTGGTCAAGCACGTCAAGAAGTTAGAGAAAGTACAAAGGTTTGCAACAAGGCTAGTCCCAGAGCTCAAGGGAATGCCGTACGAGGAAAGGTTAAGGGAAATCGGACTGACGACATTGGAGGACAGAAGGGTCAGGGGAGACATGATAACGACATACAAGATACTGCGGGGAATAGACAAGGTGGACAGAGATAGGATGTTCCAGAGAGGGGACACAGGGACAAGGGGTCACAACTGGAAGCTGAAGACTCAGACGAGTCACAGGGACGTTAGGAAGTATTTCTTCAGTCATAGAGTTGTCAGCAAGTGGAATAGCCTAGCAAGTGAAGTAGTGGAGGCAGGAACCATACATAGTTTTAAGAAGAGGTATGACAAAGCTCAGGAAGCAGAGAGAGGATCCATTAGCGATCAGTGAAGAGGCGGGGCCAGGAGCTGAGTCTCGACCCCTGCAACCACAATTAGGTGAGTACAATTAGGTGAGTACACACACACACACACACACACACACACACACACACACACACACACACACAACACACACATACACACACACACACACACACACACACACACACACACACACACACACACACACACACACACACACACCACATACACACAACATACACACACACATACACACACACACACACACACACACACACACACACACACACACACACACACACACACACACACACACACACACACACACACACGAGGCTACCCAACAACATCAAAAAAAATAATTTTAGAGATTCATCATAACTAAATAGGTGAGTAAACACACACACACACACACACACACACACACACACACACACACACACACACACACACACACATACACATACACATACACATACACACACACACATACACATACACACACACACATACACATACACACACACACACACACACACACACACACACACACACACACACACACACACACACACACACACACACACACACACACACACGAGGCTACCCAACAACATTAAAAAAAATAATTTTAGAGATTCATCATAACTAAATTCAGTGTTATTTGAGACTCATAGTTTGTAAGGAAGGGAGTATGTTCAGTGCTGCTTTACCTGCACAAAACTGCACACATACACATGTATGAAATACAATCGCAAATAGGTAATCTTAACAATGTATTACAAGCCATCCGCATATGGCTTATTCTGCATAAACATGTATACTTATATGTAGCTGTTTATATAATGTGTCGTTTCTGCTATACACATTTCATACTTTTTTATTGGGATTAATAATAGTTAATGGAGTTTAATTATTAAAGTAAAATACTTCAGTCCCTAAATTAGTCATTAAAGTCAACTTTCAGTATTGTTTACTACTGGGCTTTACAGCCTATCAACTGTACTAGGCTCATTAAGGCTGCTGCACCTAACCTTTTCGTCACCAGTCTAAAAAAAAAAACTAACCTTAAAGGAAATTAGATTAACTTTACTGGGTTATTTGCACACAAGTTCCTATATAAGACACTCATAAAAAAATTAATTTATATGCTGAACGTGAACAAAATTAGTTATGATGGGGGTGTGAGTGGCCCAGGAGGGTGGTGACCACACCCACCACTAGCAGCACTCTTGTACCAAGAATAACCCAGCCAACCATCCCTTCCTCTCTACTCTCCACACCACGCACATAAAATTACACACTCGAACTTACAGAACAATAAAAAATAGAAATGATTCAGCAACAAAGAGGTACTTTAGTGACCTTCGAGAGAAAGTGACATCCGCCATGTTTGATTCAGTGACCATTGTGGTCCCGATAAGGATTTTTTGCAGGATACCATGCAGGAAAAACCATACATGACACACCGCTACCGCTGTGCCTTTTCCAACACGCCAGAATATACAAAGACACCCATACACTTGACATAAATAAAAGCATGACATGGCTAGCTAGCATCAATATTTACATCAACTCCTCTCGTCACTCATTTTCTACTTGAACAACTTTGAAGATTACCAGATAACTAATATAACAAGATGCCACTGCCACAGTAATAAAGATGGGAACCATAGCAAGAGAAGAACAAGACACAGCTAGCATCACTTGCGTTAAACATGCGAGAGGAAGCAGAGTAATACTATCAGCGCCCCGACTTACTTGACCTGAAGCAACTGCCTTCCAAAACGCACAATTCTCTCACAACTTGTGCTCAGATAGAGTATCTTACAAATACTGAGCTTCATTAAATGTTTCATATTAAATTTACATCAATCGTCATGATTAAAACTTTTTCAAGAAAAATCCAGCAGCAGGGAGGCTTCTGCAACATGTCTGCTCAACACTGCACGATAACGCTTCTCTCACCCCTCACATTAACTTGCTACAGACTGTATTTATGGTTCATCTTACCTACTTTGATTACTTTCCAGTTACCCAAATTTCAGTAAGGTAAGAAAAAGAGATCGGTGATGTGTTCGTTTCTGGCGAGCCGCCCGAACTGATGCGGCCGCGGGTGGCCACTCTTAAGGCTGCACGAAAAGGGGCGCTGTTGCCAAGTCAGTTTCCTCTGGCACTGTGTTCAGGCCACCTCTGACAACACTGATAAATGTGTCATGTCTGCATTGGTTGTGATGACGTCAGCAGCCATGGACTGACGTACGTGTTAAGTCCTGCATGGTGGACGTGGACACTCCACCTGCCCCTGTGCTCCTCACACACACACACACACTTTATCACACATCACTTGAAATACACAATATCACGGAATATTGTTAGTTAGTGACCGCTGGTACAAACACCGTGACTGATGACTACACAGAAACAATGTAACAATAAACCACGTCCGCCTCTGTCCTGGGTGTTACTGGACTGGTGTGGGTCGCATCCTGGGAGACAAAAATGACGACCACAATGGAAATCAAACAGACAGTCCTTGATGGCGCACCGATTTTTTTGTGTTATTTTGGGTGGCTAACCCTCCGGGGTTAAAAATCCGAACCAAATTTTATGGTATCCCCTAAGTCACCCTTCATTCAACTACACGCCTATCCTTTTCTATCACTCCATCCACCATACATATAACCTTCCTTAACTATATACCTAACTTTCACCACTCAGTCACCCTTACACCTAACTTTCCTCATCACTTACTCAACCATATACCAAGGTGTTCTCATCACTACATCATTCCTTACTCAACTACACACCTGGCTCCCATCTCACGCCTACATAAATCCCATCCTAACTACGTCATTCTTCCCCCGTTTTAATTCCCTCACCTGACCTGACACCGACTAAAGGGTCCCGGAAGTGAAGTGTGGGGTGTAGGGAGGTGAGGTGTAGTGTGGTAAGAGCCGTGTACTCACCGATTTGTGGTTGCAAAGGTCGAGTCTCAGCTCTCTCCTCGTCTTGTAACCTACAGTCGTCCGGCATTGGGTTCTAGCCTCATAGTCTGTGCCATATTTACTCTTGAAACTGCTTATAAATTTACCTCCCACTGCTTCCATTTCGTTTTACTTATTTTATTTCTGTAATAACAGAAAAAATAAATGGTCGTAACTCCACGATGTCTGTTTTTAGCTTCCATGTATGACCCAATGTTCTCGTTCCCCTCATGTCAGTGTATGACTCTGTACCATGTTATCAAATCTCTACTCATTCATCACTCTTCCAAGATCAAAAGGCCAAGTTCCTACAGTATCCTTAAGTCTCCTTCAGTATTTAGTTTCGTTGTGAACCTCTAGACCTTCTCCGGTTAGTCTTCCTACCTGACCAGGTAAGGACTCCATGCCTCCGAAAACATTAATTAGGTATAGCAGCCGAGATGGTTCGCGTGGTATTCACTCTAAAGTCTTTCTCTTTGTGATGGAGTTGCTTTTCTCCCGGTCTGTACTCTGTCACAGGTCTTCTCTTTCTGATATTCACCAGCGTGGATTTGTTAAGCTTCAACTCCGGAAGCCACCTGCACGACCACCTGTGACAGTAAATGTTATGGAAATACCGGCATGTAGTAGGTGAAAGACACACAGGCAGCAAGTGGATTATCTCAACACTGTTTCCCTTGTATAGCAGATTTAGGTCTCTATAAAACCTGCTACGCAGGCGAAACGTCGTCTCAAAGTTTCCAATTGTATTTTAATCAACTACAACATGTATGACCATCCTTTCAACCTCTTGATGTCCATGCCCATCAAACACTGCCCTTCAAACACTGCCCTTCAAACACTGCCCATCAAACACTGCCCATCAAACACTGCCCATCAAACACTGCCCATCAAACACTGCCCATCAAACACTGCCCTTCAAACACTGCCCTTCAAACACTGCCCATCAAACACTGCCCTTCAAACACTGCCCATCAAACACTGCCCATCAAACACTGCCCATCAAACACTGCCCATCAAACACTGCCCATCAAACACTGCCCATCAAACACTGCCCATCAAACACTGCCCTTCAAACACTGCCCTTCAAACACTGCCCATCAAACACTGCCCTTCAAACACTGCCCATCAAACACTGCCCATCAAACACTGCCCATCAAACACTGCCCATCAAACACTGCCCTTCAAACACTGCCCTTCAAACATTGCTCTCCAAACACTAGACAGTTCTGTCCCTCAAGGTGCAGTACTCGCCCCCATCCTTTTCCTCATCCTAATTTCTTATATAGATATGTAAACCACAGCACCGTGTCTTCCTTTGCAGACAATACTGGAATTTGCATGAGAGTGTCATCTATTGAGGACATTGCAAATCACCAAGAGGATTTAAACAAAGTCTTCCAATGAGCCCTAGAAAACAATATGATGTTCAGTAAGGACAAATTTCAGTTAATCCGTTATGGAAAACTTGAGAAAATAAAAGCTAGAAAGGAGTATAAAATAAATCGTAACCACAGAATGGAGCGACAAACTACCGTGAAGGACTGGGGAGTGATAACGTCAGAGGATCTTACCTTCGACAAGTGCGATCATGGTGTTATAGCACACAAAATGCGTGATAAAGGAATAACACGAAAAGTTGGTAGATGGATCTATAACTTCCTAACAAATAGAACACAAACAGTAATAGTAAACAGAGTAAAGTAAGAGGCGGCCACAGTGAAAAGCTCTGTTCTACAAGATACAGTACTCGCCCCATCATTTTCTTCATCCTCATATATGAAATAGACAGATATGTAAGCCACAGCACCGTGTCCTTTGCGGATGACACCAGAATGTGCATGACAGTGTCATCCATCGAGGAAACTGCAAATCTCCAAGCGGACATTAACGAAATCTTTAAATGGGCGTCAGAAAACAATATGGAGTTCAATGAGGACAAATTTCAATTGCTCCACTTTGGAAAACTCGTGGAAATGAAAATTGGATCGAATTATAAAACAAATTACAACTCATACTAGAGCGTAAAACTAATGTGAAGGACCCAGAAGTGATAATGTCAGAGAATCTCACTTTCAAAGATCACAACAATGTATCTAACACATCTACTAGGAAAATTATAGGATGGATAATGAGAACCTTCAAAACTAGAGATGCCAAGCCACTGATAATTCTCTTTAAATCGCTTGTTCTTTCTAGGCTGGAATATTGCTGTACACTAACTTTTCCCTTTCAAGGCAGGCGAAACTGCAGACCTGGAGAATATACAGAGATCTTTCACTGCACGTATAAGCACAATAAAGCACCTAAATTAGTGGCAACAGTTGAAGTCCCTTGACCTGTACTCCTTGGAACGCAGACGAGAAAGGTACATAATAATATACACATGGAAATTCCTAGAGGGACTAGTCCCAGATCTGTACACGGAAATCACACGGAAAAGATTTGGCAGGCGGTGAAAAGTAGGGGCGCCATGAGTATGCTAAGAGACAACACAGTAAGTGTCGGGGGCCCAAGACTGTTCAACTGCCTCCCAACATACAAATGGGGGATTACCAATAAACCCCTGGCTGTCTTCAAAAGGGAGCTGAACAGACACCTGAAGTCAGTACCTGATTAGCCGGGCTGTGGTTCGTATGTCAGTTTACGTGCGGCCAGCAGTAACAGCCTGGTTGATCAGGCCCTTATCCACCGCGAGGCCTGGTCATGGACCGGGCCGTGGGGGAGTTGACCCTCAGAACACCCTTCAGGTAATCAAGGATCACAGCAGTTATTATTACAACTGCGATGAAAATTATACAATGGATAATGATAATCTTTAAAACAAGGGATGTCAAGCTAATGATGATACTTGTAAGTCACTTGTTCTCTCTAGGCTGGAATACTGCTGTACACTAGTGGATACACTCAAAGCAGGCGAAAATCCTACAGGAACTGGTTCCATATCTGCACACATACATACCCCCAATAAAAAGCGGGGGTGTCGTGAGTCACTAAGACCGTTCAACGGCCTCCCATTATGCATAAAGGGGTTACCAGTAGACCCGGATTACACTGATTAGGTTGATCAGGCCCTTGTTCATCAGAAGGCCTAGTCATGGACGGGGCCGAGGGGGCGCTGACCCCCTTAACACTCTCCAGATAGACTCCAAACATTCCCCTTGAAAGTATATATTGTAGAGGCTCGTCGGATAGATGGTAAACGATGAGGATGTGATGTTGTATTATGATTGTACTGTTAGAGCGTGATGCTGAGGGATTACTGGATATTCTCTGTCTCTCTCTCTCTCTCTCTCTGTCTGTCTCTGTCTGTCTGTCTGTCTCTCTCTCTGTCTCTGTCTGTCTGTCTGTCTGTCTGTCTGTCTCTCTCTCTCTCTCTCTCTCTCTCTCTCTCTCTCTCTCTCTCTCCTCTTCTCTTCTCTCTCTCTCTCTCTCTCTCTCTCTCTCTTTTTACACAGGGTTTGACAAGGTTAAGGATCCCTGGCTTTATTGACAAGCTATTTACAGGTTAAGGATTCCTAACTTTATTGGCAAGCTAAGAGCTGTTACCTACATCAGCTCATTTGAAAGCATTTTTATTGTTATGAGACATACAAGTAGGGAACAGGATGAAGTTGGAGCCATCTGTGGGCCAGCATTTTCATTTGATCAACTGACTTTATCTCGTTGACATCATTATGCTGTACGAATGTGTTCCATACTCGAGTCATCCTGGGTATGTATGATCTCAGATGGAGTGATGTTCTGGAGAAGGGTACAGCCAGAGTGAAGTTGCTGCTTTCTGCCCGTCTTGTGGCATAAAAGCTTGTTTCACGCTGTCCTCGAAGTGGATCCAAGTGTGGTATTTCGACAATATTGGCCTTGTACATAACAGTAAGGCCACCCACATCCCTCCTATGTTGAAGGCTCTGCTGAAATGACAGATCTATCCAGGATGGGTCCAGGCGAGAGATGAGACGTCTTGCTCTGTTCTCTACTCTGTCAAGCAGTCGCAGATGAGAGGGGGGGGGGCAGGCAAA